TTTTGAGACAGGGTCTCTCTATGTAGTTGAGACTGACCAGGAACTCACCATGTAGCCCAGGCCGGTCTCGAACTCACAGTGATCCTCCTGCCTCAGCCTCCCGAGTGCTGGGATTACAGGCATGTGCTACCACGCCTGGTTTATAATTTTTTTTTTTTGAGCCAGTGTCTCACTATGTAGTTCAGGCTGCCCTTGAACTCACTATGTAGTCCATGCTGGCCTCAAACTCACATCCATCCTCTTGTGTCAGCCTCCCCAGTGCTAGGTTTAGGGGCATGCACCCCTACACCTGGCTAAGTTGCTTATTTTTGATTTGGTCCTTTATTTGGGGTGGTCTAGACTTTTTTGAGTTCTTTGTATATTCTAGTTGTTAGTCCTATACAAGGAATAGCTGGCAAAGGTATTTCCCCCTTCTGTAGGTTGTCTTTTCAATCTGTTGGTTGTTTTCTTTGATGTACAGAAGTTTTAAAATTTGATATGATCCCATTTGTTGATTTTTTTTTTTTTTCCCCTCTAATACCAGGGATTGAACTGAGGACCTTGTGCTTGCAAGGCAGGTGCGGTGCCACTGAGCTAAATCTCTGGCCCTTCATTTCTTGATTCCTACTGTTATTTCTTGTAAAATTAGGGTTCTGTTAAAAAAAAAAAGTCCTTGCTTATGCTTATGACTTCAAGAGTTTTACCTGTTTTATTGTTCAGCAAATTGTTTCTGTTTTACTATTTCAGGTCTTTGGTCCATTTTGATTTTAGTTTAGTTCATGCTAAGAGATACGTATCTAGTTTCAATCTTCTGTATGTGTATAGCCAGTTTTCCTAATAACATTTGTTAAAAAGGCTATCTTTCCTCCAGCATATGTTTTGGTCCCTTTGTCCAAGGTTAGGTTGTTGAATGCATCTGTATCCTCTGTCCTTTTCCATTGATTCACTTGTCTGCCTTTGTGCTGGTACTCAATTTTGAAACAAGTGTTTTTGAAGCAAATTTGCTCTTATATTTGTTGTTACATAAAAACCCTAAAGTAATTCTGAATTATTTTTATATTTTTAGTTAATAAGTGTGTAGTAGGAAAATAGATAGGTAGAGAATGCTTTTACATTTATACTTTTCTTTCTCAGGAATTCTTTGTTGCTTTGCGCCTTGTGGCATGTGCCCAGAATGGACTGGAAGTTTCACTGAATAGCTTGAACCTGGCCGTTCCTCCACCAAGATTTGTAAGAAATGCTTTTGGATGTGAATTGTACTTTAATTTTTTAAAAAATGATGCCACATGTTTTGAAATTAAAATTAATGTTTTAAAAAAATTTCTCCCTTTAACCTCTGTGACTCAGCTGCATGGTTTTCTTTGTGTCTAATACCATCATTAGCTTGTATTTTTTTAGAGTTATTATATGTGTATATCGAGAAATGTAAGTGTTTTCCTCATTTTCTGTTAATTGTAGCACACTGTACAGATTTCATACCATTTTAAAATAATGTAGTAAGCTGGGTGTGGTGGTGCATTCCTGTAATCCCAGCACTTGAGATGCTGAGGCAGGAGGATTGCTGTGAATTCAAGGCCAGCCTAGGTTACATAGTGAGTTCAAGGCCTACCTAAACTCTATAGTGAGATCCTGTCTCAAAAAACAAAAAAGTAGTATGGTGTAGAGATCTTTACATATCCTGTCATAAAACCTTCCTCTTGTTTTTTTTTTTTTTTTAGCCTTCCTTGTTTTTAATGATTGCCTTGTATTTCTTTGTTTATATTTATCATAATTTAACTTTCTATTGATAACCTTTGATTGCTTCTAATTTTTTATTACAAAATACTATAATGAATAATAGCCTTATTCATATGTCATTTTGCATATGTAAGAATATGTTTATATGTATAGTCCCCAGAAGTGGAGTAGATGTTTCAAAAGTTTTTGCCTTGGTAACTTGCATGTATATTGTCATCTTGCCTTCCCTTGTGGTGTACTGGTTCACGTTTCTGCCAACATTCAGTTGAAATGCCTGTTTCTTCTCACTTTGGTAGTATTCTTTTGCCAAATTTTTAGGTCCTTGTCAATGTGACAGCTGGTATGTAATTATGATTTGCTCTTTTGATTTTATTGAGTGATGTTGAATAGCTTTTCTTATGCTTAGGATCCATTTATATTGCTTTTTATGTGAATGTGTAATGATAGCTTGTGCCTATTTTGGGGTTATTTCCATACATATATTGGTTTCTTTCTGTATTTTTCTGTTCTTCATCATTGACCTGTGTATCCATGTACTGGTTCTACATTGTTTTAATTATTATTTGGTAAATGTTTGTATGTGATAGGGCTGGTCCACCCTTCCCCACTCTTTTTCTCAGAAATTCAGTGGCTCTTGATTTTTGTTTTTGTTTGTTTGTTTGTATATTGTGGTGCTGATGATCAACCTAGGGTCTTGCACATGCCAGACAAGTGCTGTACCATTGGGCTACACCCCCACTCCTTTGTGTTTGCTTTTAAACTTTTTATTTTAGAACTTAATTATTTAATAAAAGTCGGCACAGTGGCATATGCCTGTAGTTTTAGCTGCTTAGGCGGAGGCAGGGGCATCACAAATTCAAGGCCATCCTGGGCAACTTTATGAGACCCTGTCTGTATATGAAAAGGGCTGGGATATAACTTGGTGATAGAGTTCTTGGCTGGTGTGCATGAAGCCTTAGATTCAGTTGCCAATACTGGGAAAAAATTTTAAATTTCAGAAATATCTGCAATTCTGTGTTTAGACTTGCTATTAGAGGGCTACTAAGGGGGATTTGTTTTCTAGCTATATTATTAAAAGATTTTTCAAATATATTCATTTGTTTAGTCAGATAAATGTAATAACTTAGGCATACTGTTAATAGGCGTACTTGTAACTTGTAATTTAGATTGTTTTCCCAGCCTGTTTTTCTTAAATAACATTGGGGAAAAAAATCATCAGTTAATAAGGACTCTAAATGTTTTTATTACACTGGGTGTGGTAGTATATACCTATAATCCGAGTACTTGGAAGCCTGAGGCAAGAAGATCCTATGTTGGAGGCCAGCCTGGCCTATGTAGTGCGAAGTTGTCTCAGAAGAAACAAACAAACAAACAAACAAACACAAAGAAACCAAATCAGCATTTTTGTTAACTTTCTGAGAGCCTTATCTTAATCTTAATTGTATTAAGATTTCTTGTGTCATACTTAAAATATTTTAGTTAGTGCTCTTCAGTGATTTATGTGGCTATATGAAAATGTGTTTTTTGTTTTGTTTTTTGGTACTGGGAATCAAACTTAGGACCTTGGCTTGTGAGCAGGCATGGGACCACTGAGCTAAATCCCCAGCCCTATGAAAATGTTTTTGTTTCAGCAGAAAATAGATGGCCTAGTTTGTGTAAAATGGTGTTGTGAGGACACTGAGATCCTGCATTTTGTATGCATACATTTAAATCACGAGACCATTTTGTCTTTATTGCTTAATGGTGTGAGGATTTCAACAATTTATGTACTATTTACTTTTTAGCATGATTCCAGTAGTCCCTTGCTAACCAGTGGAACTTCTGCAGCTGAGCTCCCATGGGCTGTAAAAGTAAGTAAACTTTTGTAACTATTAATTTCTTGCCCTTCTTTGCTTCTTACTCACCTATATATCCTCTCCTGCTACTTCTGAAATATATTGCAATTTACCTTATGGACACTGAACAGAGTCACTTCAAAATTATTATTTACTCATTTTGATTGAAATGAAATGTTTCTTGAATGTTAGTTTACATGTTGTCTGTTCTTTGAGAATTTGTCTTTTAAACTGGAGCTAAATTTGTTTTGCCATTATTAAAATTGTCATTTAAATTTTTTTATATTATAGTCTGAAGATAAGGCCAAATATGATGCAATTTTTGATAGCTTAAGCCCAGTGAATGGATTTTTGTCTGGTGATCAAGTGAAACCAGTATTGCTCAACTCTAAATTACCTGTGGAAATTCTTGGAAGAGTAAGATATTAAGTTTTTAATTTAATTTTTATGTATTTTAGTTTGTATCTACCCGGGGACCTAATATATATATATATGCTTATTGTAAAATATATAAATCTTGTTTTAAAATTGTTATTATATAACTTAATGTGTTCTTAATAAATAAAGTTATTCCCAATTTATTTCTGGTTTTGGTTATTCCCTCTATACTGAGTGGTTGAAGTTAGTTATACATGTGAGCCCCTAAGCAGGTCCTCATTTCTTTGTGCTATACACTTTGAACTCTCAGTTGCTTGATAATTCGTAGAGACCATCAGTATTTTATGTCTGCCACTTTACTCCATGCATTCTAGGGTTCAGTTGTAAGGAATAATTTCATCTCTGAAATTATAAATTCTGCTAAGTTGAACTTCCTGTCTTTCTGACTCTTTTTCATAGATGCCTGAAAGTCTTTAATTCTTTAGCTTCACTGATACCTTTAAATCTCAGACTCATTTGTTTTTTCTTTCTTTTTAACAAATGTACTCTTTACTTGTGTTAATTATATTTACATTGTTATGCAGCCATTACTATCTATCTGTATAACTTTTCATCTTGTAGAATTCAAGCTCTATTCCCCCTATCTTCTTTTGGGAGGGGGCCAGTTCTGGGAACTGAACCCAGAGCCTTGTATATGCTAGGTAAGCATTCTACTACTGAGTCACATCCCTGGCACTTTCCCTGTCTATTGAAATTACTTTTGTCCTCCTCCAACTTGGGATTTTTTGGCTCATATTTTTATATCTTCATCCATATCTCTCCTTGCCACGTTGTTCTTCCTTCTCTTTTGCCTGATAGTCATAAATTCTGCTGTCTAACTTGAATTTCCCATCTTTTTAGATCTTTTTTCATACTTCCTTACAAGATTTTTGTTCTTTAATTTCACTAAGAAGTTTTTTACTTTACTAAAAATCTTTTGTGTGTGTGTGTGTGTGTGTGTGTGTGTGTGAGAGAGAGAGAGAGAGAGAGAGAGAGAGAGAGAGAGAGAGAGAGAGAGAGAGATGGTGCCTGGGTATTGAACCCAGGGCCTTGTGCATGAGAAGATATAGCTAGCCACACCCTACCCTACTATAGCCACACCCTTGCCCCTGAAAATCCAAATCTGCATGAATTTGATTGTGTGTTTTCTCATCTATTGCATATAGACCACTGAGAAGCCTAGTAAGAATGGGGTCATTCATGGTTACTAACTTCAACTGGTCATCTCCCTTCTGTGTGCCACTCTTGTGCTGTTCCCAAAGTGGTTCCTCTTCACTCTCTTCCTATTTCAGCCTTTATCTATTCTCTTTAGATCACCAGCCCTTCAATTTTCTACTTAATCAGAATCTGTAGAGTTAAATCCTAACTACTTTTTAGTTTTATGACTTGGGGCAAATTATTAGAAAACCATATCTCAGCTTTCCTATGTTTTAAAGCAGGCACAATTTCTAGTTATAAGGTTGTAAAAATTGAGTGTGGTAATGTTTATAATGTACTTAATACAGTACTTAATTACATGCTACTTGGCTGCTAGTTGCTATGGTGATGATGGTACAGATAACTACATTACCATTAGTACTAATACTACTACTATTGGATCAATGTAATATAGATTAGGTGCTCGATAATTACTGATTTAAAATGCATGTTCTAGTATTGTGCCCCACTAATTATTTCTCCTCACTGTGGTGTTATATTTCTAAACTGTAAATAATCTTGTCATTTTATTACTTAAAATTAACCATTTACTAGCTTCCCTTGCAATTAAGATAAAGTCCAAATTCTTTTTAAGGCATTTAAGGACAAGATACTTGCTTATTTTTACTCATATCTCACCAGTGTACTTTTTCTCTCTGCCCCCAAGTAATACATGAAATGAAAGAACATTAATCATTCTTCTCTTTTTAAGGTTTGGGAGTTGAGTGATATTGACCATGATGGAATGCTTGACAGAGATGAATTTGCAGTTGTAAGTAACCTAATGTTCTAAAAATATGAAACATCTTAGTGGTTTTATTATGTGAAAACTTCCCCTTTTGATTCATCTTTGAAGGAAAACTGTATATCAATTTATTGGTATGAACATTTTTTAGTAGAATTTGTAGATTGTTAGCAAATATTTTAAAATAAATGAATAACAGAAAATGGGTGTTTTGCCATCCTTGTTTCTTTCTGCTTGTTTGTTTGGTTTTTTTTTTTTTTGGTACTGGGGATTGAATTTGGGACTTTGCGCTTTCAAGGCCAGTGGTGGAACCACTGAGCTAAATCTCTGGCCTTTGTTTTTGTTTTTTCCCCATTAAGTTTATTGGTACATTTAAAGCAAACAGTACAGTTACATTTTTCATTGGGATCTTATGCCTTTACGTGATATGTCTATGTCTTGGTTTTTGTTTTTTTTCCCCATATCCTTGCCCTCCCTTCATCCCCTTTACCACTTCCCTATTTACAAAGGCTTAGTTTACATTTTTTCCTTTTCTAATATTTTTTCTTTTTCCTTATTTCCTTTCCCCATTTACTTCCTATTTCACTTTCTCAGTTATACCATTTGAACCTTATCTACACTTTTAGTTTTTCACATTAGAAAAACTATTCACAATTTACTAGTGTGTCCTATTTATTTTACTTGAGAGTATAGCCTCAATGTGCAACCATTTAGCTATAAATGTTTCTAGTTTCTCATTCTTTATGGCTGAGTAGTACTCCATTTTATAGAAAAACCACATCTTCTTTATCCAGTTTCCAGTTGATGGAAATTTGGCTTGTTTCCAAGTTATAGCTATTACAAACTCCACTGCTATAAATATGGGTGTACATATATCACTGTGGTATGATTCTTTTCGAAAGATAACCAGCAGAAGAATAGCTGGGTCAAATGGAATCTCTAATCCTAGTTCTTTGAGGTATCTTCATATTGATTTCCACAGTGGTTGCACCATTTGTTTGTTTTTTGTGAGGCAGGACTCACTGTGTAGTTCAGGCTGGTCTTGAACTCACTATGTTGCATAGGCATTGGTCCTACTGCCTCAGCCTTCTGAGTGCTGACATTACAGGTGTGCACCACCAGGCCTGGCTTCCATCTCATTTGACTTTAAGGTACAAAGGAGTATATTTTTTGATTAATGTTCTGCAAAGATGGTGAGTGGCATTGTCTTTTGTATCCCAACTTGATTGGATACCTCAGTACCTGCCTTTGCTTTGGAGTAATGTTGCTTCAGCTTTATCCTTCAGTTTTCACATATCTTTCATTGAAAGGAAGCATGAATAGCAGTTTAGTTCATCTCATGAAGACAGACAGATTTTGACATCGTATCTAATTGTTTGAAAGACCCATCTGAAAACATGTTATTTTAGTAAATTGCAGTAAGATATTCATGTTTTCCTTAAAGGTTAGGTAAAACTCTGTTGTAAACTCATTCACAATAAGTCTGTGATCCCCTTTTACTTTTTAAATTGATTTTTAAAATTCATATTAATTTTACGGAATATTGGGTTTCACTGTGGCATTGCCCTACATGCACATTTTGATTATGCCTGTGCCCCATCACCCTCCCTTATACGCATGCCCCTTGCCCTTGTGTGCTCTTATTTGGAAATTAGTTTGTTCAGACTTTTCAGGCTCTTTATTTTGCTAAGGAGTTGTCTTTGTTTTGCTTTTAATTTTTGTGATACTTCAGATCAAATGCATAGGTACTACCACTGATCTACCAGCCCTTTAACATTTTTTTGAAAAAGTCTTGGCAGAGTTGCCCAGGCTTGCATCCAACTGGTGATCCTTCTGCCCAGCCTCCTAAGTAGCTGAGATTACAAGTGTGTGCCACCTTTTCTGGCAAGACTTTACCATTTTTATTTCTGTTCACATGACTTTTTTTTTTTTTGGTACTGGGGATCAAACTCAAGCTCTTGCACTTGTGAGGTAGGCGGTGGAACCACTGAACCAAATCCCTGGCCTGGAATTAGCTTTTTGATTTATTGATTCTTTGTAATTTTTTTTCAATTTCATTAGTTTCTTCTTGGATCATTATATAATTTCCTTGTGCTAGCTTTAGATTTGGATCGTTACTGTTTTTTAGGAACTTTAGGTGCATCATTATGTTATTTATTTGGGCTCACTCTTTTTCTTATGTGGGTATTCATAGTCATAAATTTCCCTTTTAGGACTGCTTTTATTGTATCTCTATACTGTGTGGCACTGATGTTTGATTCTAGGAATAAATTTTTTTTTTCCAATAAGTTTATTGGTACATTTTAGGTATACAGTACAGTTACATTCATCATTGGGAACTTGTACCTTTACGATGTATCTTTTGTGTGGCACTGATGTTTGATTCTAGGAATAAATTTTTTTTTTCCAATAAGTTTATTGGTACATTTTAGGTATACAGTACAGTTACATTCATCATTGGGAACTTGTACCTTTACATGATGTATCTTGGTTCTTATTTTTTCCCCATTTCCCTGCCTTCCCTTCAACCCATCCACCTCTAGGAACTAGGATTTCTTTTGTGACCCATTTATTATTCAAGAGTATATTGTTTAATCCTCATTTGTTTGCATAATTTCTATGGTTTTTTTGCTATTGATTTTATGTTTCATTATACTATGAACTGATAATATATGTGGGATAATTTCAGTTCTTTTGTATTTATTTTAACATTTTCCCCCCTTTTGAGACAGTCTTACTGTTTAGTTCAGGCTGGCTGGAACTCACAGGAGTCCTTTTGCCTCAGCCTCCCAAGCACTGGGATTACAGGCATGAGCCACCATACCTGACTTTCAGTATGCTTTATGGACTAGGATATGGTCTATTTTGGAGAAAGTTCTGTATGCTACTGAGAAGAATGTGTATTCTGTTGTTGGGTGGACGACTCTGTAGATATCTCAAGTCCATTTGTTTGAAGGGATGGTTCAACTGATACTTTGTTGATATTTTTTCTAGTTGATGTGTTTGTGATAGTGGGATATTGAGGTTCCCCACTATAATTGTGTTGACGTTTATCTGATCTTTTTTATATCCAGTAATGTCTGTTTTATGAAATTTGGCATGCCAGTATTTGGCGCATATGTATTTATAATTGTTATCTCTTCCCTTTGAATTGTTCTCTTAACCAATATGTAGTGACCTTCTTGCCCTCTTCTGATCAGTTTTGAAGTCTACTTTGTCTGAAAGTAGAATAGCTGTTCTTACACGCTTTCAGGCTTTTGTTGCATTGTTTTCTATCCTATGATTTTAATCTGTGAATTTCTTTTTGGATTAGATGTGTTTCCCATATGGAGAATACTGTTGGATTTTGTATTTGATCAAGTCTGCCAAATTCTTATCTTTTGATTCAGGAGTTCTTTCTGTTTTTCTTTTCATTTTTTCATGTTGTAGATTGAGCATCAAAGAGTAGACTTTTTGCTTGTATGAAGATCTTTTTAGTTAGTGTCAGCTTTTCAGTGATGTGATCTTTGCTTTGTTTGCATTTTGGTATTCAGTTTAATAGGATCAGACCTGATTGCTGTGTTGCAAGGAGAGAATCCTTACTGATTATATATCATTATCATCAACAGCTCTAACCATATATTAATATGTTCATTGAAACTTTTTAATCGTTTCACTCTTTTATCAATGCCCCATAAAGACTGTACTATACTGCTACTAGTACTAGATGTGGATGAAGGGTGGAAGGAAGAAGGAAGAGAAAAGGAAGGATAATCAGTAAGAAGTGAATGAGAGAAGAAAAATATCAATAAATGAGAAACAACAGGAGATCTTAGTCTGTTGTAATGTTTTTGTGATTTTTTTATACTTACATTTCCTCTGTCCCAAAGTCCTACCACCTCTGTTAGTTTGGAGAAAAGAAGGAGCAATATATTTGCCTCAGTTCTCTAGAAACAAACTCTAGTAAAGTTGATGACATGTAGACAAACCAGTTGTTGGCATGTACGATAGTAAAAAGCAATTACTGTTGCTGCCAACCTGCTCCATTGTTTCTTCCTGGGCCTGCCAACCTCTCCAGGCTTAGCTTATGTTTTCAGAGGCGGGTTCCTTTCCCAGGAGCCAGGGTTAGTGCTCCTGGACTCCAGCCATCCTCCTGATTCAGTCTCTCGCGTAGCTGGGACTATCGATGCATCTTGAACCCAGCTTTGTACTATTTTCCTGAATTGCAGTTACTACAAAGGGCCGAGGATTTAGCTCAGTGGTGTTGTGCCTATCTTGCCTAGTGGACTTTCTCACCCCAAAATATATTACTTTACTAATTAATCAAACCTTGACTGAACATAAGAATCACTATGTTCAATAGCTGCCTTTAAAATTCTGCCAATTTCCCCTTGGATTAAATGATACTGTTGGTTTATCTGAAAGACCCAATATAAAAATGAAGAATGTAGAAGGACAGTGCTTTGGGTCATTTCTGGTGTACATTGTCTTCTTTACTTTGGTCCAACACCACTTCCTATGGATGAAAAAAATAAGCAACAGCCATCAGATGAGTGGAAAAAGAAATGAAGAATATAAGTTTGTTTGTTTGCATGTTTGTTTTTGGAAATAATTTATTTCACCAATGAACGAAAACTTGGTTGAAATTGAATCTTTATGCTCTAGACTTTGAGACAGTGTTTCACTATGTAGTTGAGGCTGGCTTTGAACTCATTACATGTAGCTCAGGCTAGCCTTGAACTGACATCAATCCTCCTGCCTCAGCCTACAGAGTACTGGGATTACAGGTGTGCACCTCCACATTTGGTTAAAATTCTTAACACCATTTTTTTCCCTTTTCTTTTGTATCATCAGTGGCATTTTTGGTTATTTATGGTTTAATCAGAATCACGAATTAGAGATTCTAACTTGTGTATCTTCTGTTGCCATATGAACCTTTAATGAGGGACCCTTCTTTCTTTTCAAATGTAGATGCTTCTTCATATTTTCTGAAACCTAGTGGTTTAATTAAAAATTCAGAATCTAGGATGAATTTGAGGGTTTTGTGGTTTGTTTTAAGTGAATCTGTAAAAAGACCAGGCCTTGTCATGACTTGGGTATTCTGGCCACAATTTAAAATACTTGACATTTGTGAATGTTACGTGTACTTATACACAGAAATAAATTGGATTTTAAAAATCACATCTAGGGCCGGGTATTTAGCTCGGTGGTGCCCCTCCTGCCTCACAAGCTTCAGTTCCTAAATTTGATTCCTGGTACTGAAAAAAAAAAAAAAACCTCCCCCCAATCACATGTATTTCCTAGAGTATGGTTTAAGAAAAAAACGGTCAGGGGGCCGGGGATATAGCTCAGTGGTTCAGTGGCCTGCCTTGCAAGCGGCAAGGACCCGAGTTCAATCCCCAGTACCAAAAAAAAAAAAAAAACCCAAAAAACAAAAACTGTCAGTATTCTATTTATTGATGAATAATCCTATTATATTATAAAGATACTAGAAATACAGGTCTGGGGAGGTAGCTCAGAGTAAAGATCCCAGTGCCCCCTGACCCTACAGAGTTATTGAGTGATACTAATGCTGCTGATGGAAGACCATGCTTTAAGTAGCAGCCTGGGGTGAAAATACTAGGTACTTCTTGTGTTTTCCATATAGGCACTAACTTGCTCAAACTGGGCTTGAACTTGTGGGATTAGGCACTTACATTTTCCATGTATCTATAGTCACTAACTTGCCCAGGCTGGGCTTGATATTGTAGTCATCCTGCCTCTGCCTCCCAGAGTGCTGGGATTACAGGCCTGTGGTACCACCACACCCAACTCCTAGAACCAAATAGGAATGCAAATATCCAGGCCTTGCCCCAGACCTTGTTTTAGACTTACTCAGTCAAAAACTGGAGCAGGGCCCAGGAATGTATTTTAAAAGTTCTCCAGGTTATACTGAGGATCACTAAAATTTGAGTAATACTGCTTAAAAGCTTAGAGAATGAAAATTCCAGAAAAGGAAGCAACTTCTAGTAATTGACTGCAATAGTAAAACTCAAATTCCTTCTTTCCTTACCATCTTCAAGTAGATTTTAGGTTTATTTTTGATGCTTTTATTTTTAAATCATCCAAAAGGTATGCTAAACGCATTTTAGTGTCTTTCTCCAGCTGAGTAAATGCATCTGCTAGTACATTTCCATTTAAAAACGAGTTACTGAGTTTCTTTTTGCTAGTATGGCATCATTTGATTCAGATGTTTCTCCTTGTGTCAGAACTTGATTAGGATAAAGTACAGTGTAATAAGAAAGAATCACAGCCCAGCAGTACTAAAAGTATTCTATTCCCCTCTGTTTTATTTGATGAAAAGTTCTGGCGTCAGTTTTGTCAGGGAAACTATTTTCAAGACAACATGAAATTAATAACTTTCAAAAAAATGTCTATTGGTAGCAGATGTCTAGCATTGCTTTTTTGTTCCTTTTCCAGGAAATGACTCCCATCTGCATCAAGAGGGGTGCTGACCTTTTAATGTGCATACTAGTTACTTCTCTTAGCAAACTGCCAACCCAGTATTATTACATGCATTGTAATTGCTAATTAACAGACGAAGAAGCTGGTTCTCATTTGGTTAAAAGTATGTGCTAGCCAGTTTATTTTCTTTCTGGAGTTTAAAATATTTGTAGCTAGAAAGTTTATGTATTTCTAAGCCTTACATTGAATTCTTTTGAGTGGGCTGATATATGAGGAGAGAATTCTTGGTTTGGGTCAAATGGTGAAAGTTGGTCCCTGCAATACAGCAACAGAATTTCCTGAACTCAGTAGAAATGTGGATTCTTGCCCCCCAGCCTCAAAAGAATCAGCCTTAGGGACTGAAGCCAGAGTTCTGGGTATAGGGCTTTCTGGCTGTCTAGGTGATTCTGATAAAAATCTGAATACCCATGTGTTATGGTTAGCTTTTTTAGTTCTAAAGAAAAGCATGGTATTATACAATTACTTACATGTTGTTAATAATGCTAATCAAGGCTGGATAAAGCTGATCAAATCTGGCATTGTAGCCAGAAGACTGGTTTGAACTCTATAATAAGCATGCTTATTATACTGGACAAAATACTTAACCATCTCTGAGCTTCAATTTCTTCATTTGTAAAATATTAATAATCATAGAAGTCATGAGTCACAGTTACTGTATTGTCTTGGGTACTCAATAAATACTGATTTGAAGGCACCTCAAAATTGAACTTAGAAGCAGATTTGTTCTTGGGAGAATTACGATTTTCAGTAGAAGAAAGAGTATCAAGAAAAAATACACAAGCTTTCTCCTGCTGCTGCTGGAATCTTTCTAGAGATTCCAAACTGCTTTGAATAATTTCATATGCTTAAAGATAGTCATGGAAAATTTGTTCTTTTTTTAAATTCCTTTGTCTCCCCCCCCCACGGAAATCTTTCATCTTCTTAGTCTCAAAAGTGCTTTGAATCTTTTAAATGGGGAGGTTACATCCCAGGACAGTCTATAGGCCAGATGTTCCACTTTGTTCAAGTGCTTTGAGTATTTATTAATTAAAATATTTAAAAATTGGGCCGGGGATTTAGCTCATTGGTTCCGCCACCTGCCTTACAAGCACAAGGACCCGAGTTCGATCCCCAGTACCAAAAAAAAAAAAAA